CAATTTCTATACTCACAATAGTTCAAGGACTCGAACCAAAGGATGACGGCAACGATGAGAAGATAAAAAACATCATTTCCAAGTATATTGATAAGATTCCCGACCCGGAACCTAAATACGTGATGAACGAAGGCCTATCCAAAATGATATCAAAGTATTACAAAGGCAAAATACAAACGTTCCCACTTTATAGAATATCACTCAAAATCGATAGAGAACCAGTAAAGATACCCTGGACACTTGGAGGAGCACTGAACGAGAAGAACACCAAGAGTAAAAAGTACAATTACGTGAAAGTGAGAAAACCGGATAAATAAATAAAAAGGAAACAACTCGAGTTCGTTCATAGTTGGGGTTTTTATTTTTTTCTATTTTTTTTTCAACATTCTTTTTATGTGGTTTATTACGTTTATTGAGTAGGTAAGGTAATGTTGTTTGTGTGTACATTTATTCCCATCCTCCCTTAAAGAATAAGCTTGGATTTGTTACTTCATGTTTTGTCTCTGTTCATTGAGTTACAAATGGCATTTGAGCGACAGGAACAAAACACAAAATAACTACTCTAAGCTTATTCCTCGTTTATTAATAAGGATAATAATTAATAAGCATGGACTAGCTACGAACTGTTTCGTTTCTTTTCATCAAATTATAATAAATTACATTTGAGCAAATTGAACAAAACGTTGCATCAGTCCAAGCATAAAACTGTAGGAATTACAGTACCTAGTAAACTTAACAAATGATGTTCAATAGAAAAAGTTATTTCTTTCCCTTTCCTCAAAAAACTTTGAGCAAAATTTCTCCTAAACGTGATCGACCTACAACTTCTTCAATTGTACAGTCTAAAAACACATAAAATTTCTTTAAGATGACAAATCTCTCAATCAATTGTGAATCTAATATCAAGCAAGACGGCTCGAAGTCAATTGTAGCCAATTGACATTGAAAGGAGGGCGCTGCTGTTGAACATGTGGTGAAATGAGGATTACTAAGTACAAGGGGTCGGCACGGAAGTATAGGGATGACCGTTATTGCGCAGAAGTCGAAGTCAGGTATCGTTGGGGAGGAGGCCAGGCGCGGAGCGTATAAGCTGTGATCGCCTTAGTTAGATTAAAACAATAACCCTGTCTGCGCGTCGCGCTTCGCGCTCTTGCATTGCGCAGCCGGGTAAAAAGGTAAGCTACGGCACCCGCGGCTCAAAAGTGATCCGCTTAAATTGTGGTTCATGACCATAATTCGCTTTAGTCACAATTGGACATTCAAACACGCTGCAATGTGTACTCAATATAATAATATTGCGTATATTCTGTGTTATGACGATAAAACAATACCTTAGATGCTTTTATAAAGAAAACAAATAGTTCAAAATCCAATAACAAATACCCCGACAACACTTTTCATTTGTAAAACTGTAAAAACATATTTTTCTCAAAACTCACGGTTTGTCGTGAATGTTATTTACGTTATCGCCATTTTGTTATCAAGGAAAGGACAACAATACGCTACGTTGAAGCGTATTGGTTCTGTCTCGCTCACTCGATTGAATCTTTATATACAGACGTGTGCGTATGTGAGAGTTGCTTATGTATTTGTGCGGATCATACTTTATTTGATGCTAGTATGAGCGTACCGTATCTTCCCTTTTTGTTTTAATCTACCATGTGCAGATATCCCCACCACATTTCGTTCACCGCTAGACTTCCGTGCCGGCCGCTGTACGTAAAATCTCCTCACTTACGGCATTCCCTTAGGGGACATCCATAAATTACGTCACACATTAAGGGGGAGGGAGGGGGTCGACGAAGTGTGACATCGTGTGACAAGGGGGTGGGAGGGGTCCTAAATTTCGTGACGTCACATTTCAAAATCTATGAAAATCTAAGTGTTAAAACACGAACTTTAAAGTATTATTTTACTAAAACATTAACAACCAAAACCAGAACAAAGTGGCTGCTATGCCAGATAAAAATAATTTAAAGGAGTTGGTTCAATATCCATGGACTAAGATTATTAAAAATCGTGTGCTTATGACCACACGACTGAAGTGAAACTTCTTTAGCTACATCTGTATGTATATATAGGTACATATATGTATGTGTGTGTATGTGTGTAAAATATATACATGTATGTACATAAACATATTTCATTTACTAGCTATAAGAGAAAGAGAGAAAGAAAATGTGTGCGCGCACTGCTTTCTCTTGCTTATTCATATATATTCTTATTCATATCCACTCAATTCCCGTTTGCCTCGACCTTTTCGAACACTTTTCGTAACGCGTAACGCATTCGCCAGCTTACCCCCCAAGTCAAGCGTGCGTAAAGAAGTTTCACTAAAAAAATTATTATAATGGAAATAAAACTGATTTCGGAACCGCTATTTTCATTCAATAAATTCTAAATGTAAAATTTGAAAAATATGTGACGTCACACTATGGAGTGGGGGAGTCTCACAAATGTGACCAGCTGTGACAAGAACGGGGGGAGAGGCAAATAATCATGAAATTTGTGTGACGTAATTTATGGATGCCCCCTTACTATAATTACTCTGAAAGAGTAAAAGAAATACAAAAGGCTGTTCTCGAAATAAGTTCCTACTTTGGCCAGGCGCCAAGAGATCTTAGTCGCAATGTATGAGAATATATATTTAATAATTTAGGGTAATTTGTAATTTTGCTGAATGTACACTGAAAAAGCTCAATTTGTAAGGAACAATACAACTGAATCATGAAACCAATTAACTGTCCGAATTTTACTTTTGAGTATGAACCAAATAAATATTATTGGTCCATTTAATTGGCCAAACTTAACTTTTAAGCATGGACCAGATAAATATTATTGGTTAATGCTCTCAAACAAAAAGACTATTTATAGTTTATTACTCTTTTCGCCTTATTACCAAAAGTAGACAAAGTTAAACCTGGACTAAAACTGATGCTGTCATTTATGTTTGCTAAAAAGAAAACAGAGGCAACATTAGGTTTAATCCAAGAGTAACTTTGGGTCCGCATTTTGGAATATGGGGTTAATTTCAGGTAGATAGCAAATAGAACCATGTAAGTTTCGAAATTGAATAACCACAATCAGATGTTGTAGTACCTTGGATTTCTTTTTTGCGCAAACAATTTATTGTTTATACACAAAACTAGTGTGTCACCCCTGCCCCACTAGCATGACCACCGAAACGGAATATGTTGTGAACTGTCAGACTACTGTCAAACTCCACTGTATTCTAACAGTTAATGCCGATATATCGCTTTATCGTATCCCGTTTCGGTGGTCATGCTATAGGGGCAGAATTACATACAGACAAGGGAGATATAGGGAGTCCAACCGTACTTCAGCCCCTATATTAATAAAAGTAGAATAAGCTAGGATTAGTAACTCCATGCTTTGTCTCTGTTTATCGTATGTCAAATGGCATTTGAGTGACATGAACAAAACACGGCGTAACTAGTCTAAGCTTATTCCTTGTTTATTAATAAGGGGTTAGGGTCTGAAATCTTCAAGAAAAATGTGTAATAAATTAGACATGACAAAAAAATGACTGTGCGCTCGTATATGAAGAGTGCCTACGTATATACATTACTGACGGTCTTTTTTGTTGTATTTCTATTATATTATTAACTAAAATTAACAATTTTCGGTAGTACTTACGAATACTGAACAAAACTTATGTTAGAACAACAAGGACCCTAGACTATTTAGAATTTTGTTACAGACATCTTGACACTATCTCCTAACATCACATAATAGTTTAATTAAATCTATAGGAGTTCTAAAAGCGAGTCAGGGGCGTTCAAGTATTACGAACGCAAATTTTGAAGATTTTTCCTGCCCCAAACGTTACGGAACACCCAACTGACCATGTTTTTACTCAAACGTCACAACTATGTTGCGCATACTACTGGAAAGTCGCGTTGTTATTGTTTTAATGGCGTTTGCGGTTGTAATAAATAACTTATGATGATGTTTAGGCGTTGAGCAGACGACGGGGCGGGGCGGGCATTTTGTCCGCGAAGCAATAAAGACCGCGTCTTCCCGTCGATGTCTGCAGCTGCCCGCGTACACAAAGCACACGACGGGCAGAGGCGGTCAGTTCAGGACGTTCGTTCTAGTGAATAGTTCATGATCTGCTGCATATAAACTGGTTTGTATGATCCACGGCGGGCAGCCGCGGACATGCCGCGCCGCCACTGCCCGCCGGGCACCCAAGGCGCGGTCTTTTTGACCGCTGTGTGCGTTTGAAGTATAGGATTCACTTTGTGCTATTATTCGCGGCGAAATTGACCGGCCCGCCCCGCCCCGTCGTCTGCAAAGCGCCTTACTTTAAACTTTGGCAATGCACTTTTTACACTTTGTAAACTATAAACGGAAAGGGTTGGCAACTTGGGAGATTTTAATACCCAAGCTTTTTTTTATTTAAATAAAAAACAATGTTACGTTACTCGTTGATCGAACACCCGTCCCGCCCCTGTAACGCATCGTAACGTTTTACAAGACCCCCCTCTCCCCCAAATTGCGTTTCGTTAAACTTGAAGGGAGCGCATTTAAGAATTAAAAATTGTATTATCATCATGTCCCTGCCATATGCATTGTGGTCTATATTCTATATTTTATTTCTCACTAGTGGGTGGGTGCCTGCGACTTCGTATGCTTGGAATAATTTGGTTTCCCATACAAACTGAACTATTTTGAATTTTAGCAATACTGATTAATCAATCTACAGTAAATAAATCATCAGTGACTAAAACAAAAGGAACACAAAGTACAAACTTACCGTAAACTAAATAAATAAAACTAGTTTTAACGGGTTAATGCACGAAACTTTATTTATTTATTGACGTTTCGCAGAGGTCTGCATCGTCAGAATACTGACGATGTATTCTGACGATGCAGACCTGAAAAGGCCCGTTAAAACTAGTTTTATTTAATGAGTAATGTGCGTGAAAACCTAAGAAACAATTACCGTAAACTATTTTCCGTAAAATATAAAGCAGGTAGCAATATTTCTACATTTTAAATTTTCTATTGTTATAACCACAAATTCTGCCTCACAAATTTTAAGAAGCAAGGCTCGCTTAGTTAAAAAGAAAATACAAAAAAAAGATACTTAATATTTTTATTTGACTCAATTGGTATTCCAAAAATCATCAAAAGTGCCCAAACTTGATTTTCTCTTAAAACATTCTATTCATTCACAATAAATATGATCATTTAATTGTGAGATTCTTTTCAATGTCAACTCTCAAATAACTTTTGCAAATTCATCTGATGAACCGATTGAATAGAATCATGATTAGCATCATTCATATCATAAGTCATAATTCATACAAAAATAATAGTAAATATCATTGATAAACAAAATATCTGTAATGGGATGACAGTTAAACAACAACAAAAATGTCTCTCCCACGACACCTTCTTGGATCAAATTATTGTATCTGACTGTTGAAAACCCACCTATACCTATATTGAAATATAAATAAAGGATGAAACGTAATAAAAAACGAAATTGACAAAATTATACAGTACAAATATAAGTTACATTGCATTTTAAAAAGCATAAATGGCGTTTATCACAAAAAACATATACCTATTGTAATTATTACAAGGTTCGTAAATTATTTTAACACAATATTACAACAGAACCGAAATATATAACAGTTAATGCCAAGAATAGGGAACATTTTAAACCTCTATGAATTAGAAAAGAAATATTACCTATACAATTAGAGACAGACATAACGCGACAGAATACCGTGCAGTAGAATACTGCGCGGCATAGAACTGCGGTATTCATCACCGAAGCCATATAAAACCCACTCTGGGAACCAATCACGTAGGTACGTCATTTAGAACCAATATTCTATATACATATTTTTAACACAAGCATACAACACACACACACACACACATCAACGTCAAGTTTGGACGAGCAAATTTATTTTATTCTTTAATTTGAACTACACAGTCGTGACCATTTTAAGTGTTTATAATGTCTGAGCTTTTAGAATGAGTTTTTTTAATGTTATTGTCAAGGAAATTTTTAATGCCGGCAGTGTTATCTGTAAACCTGAAAAAGGGCAGACCGATGGCAAGTTTACAAATAACAAACACGAATAGGCAAGTGAATTGCCGGCATAATGTTGAACAATAACAATTGTTTTCTTTTTGGAATAAATAAGCAATGCAGTATTATCAAAATGGTCGACCGATATTGCACTACTTTTCATAGCTTTGTAAGCATACAGAGTAATCGGCATTTTATGCATTTATAATGCCGAAATATTTATGAATATGATATGCCAAATGCCAGTAAAATTGTTTTATTATAAACATTATTTTAAGTATTTAAGTAGCAGCACACTAATTATAATAGGTGTTTTAAGGTACACAATGGTGTGGATCCTGGCACGATTCACTAAACCTAAACTTAAATTTGACAACAGTGCATCCATGTCATTCTCTATACAGAATGAAAAGGAGAGACATGATGTTAAAGGATATGGTAAAATTTTGTATGAACTACTACTGCCCTAGCAATGTTTAAATATTGTACTTAGTAATATTTAATGCTCAATGGCTGAATGTTTATAATTTCTATGAAAAAAGGCTCAGAAACATTCGATAAAGTCACAATCTTGAAAATTATGAGAACTCTTACTATGTCATTACCTTGCTACATTTGATAAAAGACATTGCCAATTATTTACAGAGCCATCAATTTCGCATTATCTTAGAATCCGTTCTGCCATTTCTCTGATTAAAACTTTACAAAAAGTTTTTAAAGCAAAAATAGGTATGATTCAGTGATAGTACAAATAACTTGTTATCATCGGCCTTCTTCTTCTTCTTTCTTTTTTATTTATCATCAGCCTGACAGGAAACCTTTAGTTTTATTTTGTTCATTTGCAAAAAAAATTAAAGGATTTATTATAATTCAGCCTTGTCTCAAGCCTGTTTAGAATAATAAAGTCTTTTATTTTAGGCCTTCATTGATTTGTTATAATAAAAATTAGGGCCAAATATGTCATAGTTTTAAGGAGTTTGTTATTAATATTGTTTATTTCTATATACTTACACAAATATTTTTTGTGTACATTTATTGTAAATTTTTTTGTAAAACGGAACATTTTCCTTTTGAAACAGACACGAAGAGTTAATACTTATAAATATTTGATTATTGCACGAAAGTTGTATGAAAATAATGATAAATAACAAGTAATGATTAAAAAAAATATATTATAATGTTACGGGCTAGTGCAAAATAATTATAAACGTTAAGGGCAGTTTCTTTTCCATATCCTTTAGTTTTAAGTTTAGAGAATCATCCAGGATCGACACCAATATTGATTATTTTAAATGCAGAACAAGATTTTAAAGTTCAAAAAGAACAAGATTAATAATATTTGGAGTTATAGTGTTATCCAGTGACATAATTTCGTGAAATAGGGTATTGATAACCAAATTATTTAATAATTAAAAAATATTTTTTATCTGACAGATATATGAAATCCATATTGATGTCCCATTCTAAAAGTCATCAGGCTTTTTTAACTATTATTTGAAAGTACACAACTATGATATTGATTACATCGGAACGTATCTAGAAATTGACTTGTGCTCGATAATGTTTCTGGAACTTGTTTGCTTTGACGGAGAGCTTCATCTGCCATTTAGCTTGCACTCGCTTCATGAAGTGGATATCTCGAGCCTTCCTAAAAGAGTTGTAAAAAATACATAAGATTAATGTACTACTGAACATTTGAATGATTTTATATTTAACATAAGTCATTTTATCTATTTTAATAGCACAAATGGCGTATATCAGTGTTTTATTTTATATGAATGAATTTATTGAAGATCAAAATGGCAACTATATTGTATCAAAAGAAAAAAGTAATTTTTAATATAACTGTCAATAAATAGCTATTTTTTTAATTATTATTTAATTATTTACTAAACAATGAAATAAAAAATATGGCTACTTACTTGGCGGCTAATGCTTGTTCCTTGGGCGCCCAACCTAAGGCTCTGTATACTCCCAGAAGTCTATGTAACTTCCTGTCAGATTTCTTCACTATTGCCTGACTGTTTTGCGTCAAATTCTGCTTGTAGTATCTGTAATAAAATAGAGAAGGTCTCTAGATGTTGTTTTTTAGGTATGATCTAATTAGTCCAGTCAGTATTGTCGCGAAATCCGTTTTTCCTCAAACAGCTGGAACTATGCTAAAAAGTTTCTTAAGATAGTAAAGAACACTTTACATAGAGAAAAAAATGTTTCCAACCCCGGGCAAGGGTGAAAACCACCCTTAATAATCTATTTTTCCAATTATCTCAAAAAGTATACGAGATACGGAAAAAAACTTCAAATGAAAATTGTAGATCTTTTTGAAATCTACAAAACATTATTCCACCCTCTTGCCCCTATTTTCAATAGGGGAGCCAATAATCGAAGTCAAAGATAACTTTTTTAACTAACTTTAACTTTTTAAGTATTGAATCTTTGACTTCGATTATTGGCTCCCCTATTGAAAATAGGGGCAAGAGGGTGGAATAATGTTTTGTAGATTTCAAAAAGATCTACAATTTTCATTTGAAGTTTTTTTCCGTATCTCGTATACTTTTTGAGATAATTGGAAAAATAGATTATTAAGGGTGGTTTTCACCCTTGCCCGGGGTTGGAAACATTTTTTTCTCTATGTAAAGTGTTCTTTACTATCTTAAGAAACTTTTTAGCATAGTTCCAGCTGTTTGAGGAAAAACGGATTTCGCGACAATACTGACTGGACTATAATGATCGGATTTCTACACTAATTGCAGTCTTAATGACAGGTAGAAATTTAGGGGTTGTTCCATAATCATACTTATATTTTACTTTTGTTGATTATCTTTCTTTTTCAGATAAAAATTGCTTTATTAACAAAACAAAAAAATACCTCTGCATTGTATTAGTACACACAATATATATCAAGCTAAAACGAAGTGCTTATCGAAAGAATAAGCCTAATTCGAACAAATACGGATTCGAATTTTACCCGGCTGAGCAATGCAAGAGCGCGAAGCGCGACGCGCAGACAGGGTTATGTGTTTAACAGTCTATATATGTATGTTTGTTCAAATTCAAATTCAAATTCAAATTCAAACTCATTTATTCAGTCTAGGCTGTTACAAGCTCTTGTGAAAGTCAAACGCTACGCCATCGGTTCGTAAATCTACGGCGGGAGACCTTGTACTGAGAAGAACCGGCAAGAAACTCAGCAAGGGCTATTTTTTTCTCCCTGTTTTGTTTCACACAGTGTCGTCAATTGAAAGATGACATCAAAAATTGAATACATGTGTTGATGTCAACTTCCATCACATTAATATTATTAATTAACAAAAGTTAAGTATAACTAGGTACTATTTTTAAATTTAGAAGTGGCGATTAAACAATTTTCAACCAAATTAGCAAAGTAAAAAGACAGTCTATTATGTTAAGCCCAAGGTGACTTATCATTTATGAAATCTTTTACAGTATAGTAACCTTTCTTAAGGAGACATGTTTTTATACACACTTTAAACTTATTAAAAGGTAAATTAATTATTTCTTTTGGTATTTTATTATAGTAACATATACCTTGACCCACAAATGAACCAAGAACCTTTTGGAGTCTCAATGGTGGCAATTTGAGTTTATCTTTATTTCTGGTATTGAAATTATGTACATCATCGCGCCTCGTATATAAATTTATGTTCTGACGCACAAACAATATACAATTGTAAATGTATTGAGAGGCAACAGTCATTATACCTATTTCTTTAAATTTATCCCTAAGAGAAGTTCGAGATCCCAAGCGGTAAATGGCTCTTATAGCTCGTTTTTGAAGAATAAAAACTGTTTCAATGTCTGCGGCCGTGCCCCATAATAGAATGCCATATGACATAATGCTGTGAAAGTAGCTGAAGTATATTGTCCTAGCAGTGTCGACATCTGTAAGCCGTCTTATTTTATAAATTGCATAAGCAGCAGAACTTAGTTTACCGGCTAGTGTTGTAATGTGAGGGTTCCATTGAAGTTTGTGGTCTAGTGTTACGCCTAAGAAAACGGTTGTATCGACTAAAATTAGTTTTTCACCATTTAGAATTATATCCCCCATTTCAACATGCTTTACATTCGGCAAAGTAAATTTCACACATTTAGTTTTGCTCGCATTCAGTTTAAGATTATTAGAAGAGAACCAGTGAAGTACCTTGGAAAGTGCATTGTTTACATCGTCATAATTTGTTTTACACCTGTCAACGTTAAAAATTAGCGAGGTGTCATCTGCAAACAAAACAATTTCACAAAAATTTTCTACAAAGAAAGGTAAATCATTAATGTAAATTAAAAAAAGAAATGGACCTAAAATTGAACCCTGAGGAACGCCTATTTTCACATGAGATCCGGCTGATTTTGTACCGTTAATATCAACTATTTGTGTCCTTTCTGTTAAATATGATTGCACTAATTTTTGTGCGGAATCTTTTATGCCGTAATGATTTAATTTCCGTAACAAAGTTTGATGATTAACGCAATCAAACGCTTTAGATAAATCGCAGAAAACCCCAAGAGCATTCTGCGACTTTTCCCAAGCATTAAATATATATTTTAGCATAGTGGCCCCAGCATCAGTCGTGGAACGGTTTTTAGTGAAACCGTACTGCGCTCTGTGTAAAAGTTTATTAATGTTAAAATGAGTCAACAATTGTTCTAACATTATTTTTTCAAAGATTTTACTCAATGCTGGTAATATAGATATTGGCCTATAGTTGCTAGGATCTTTACAATTTCCAGACTTAAATAAAGGTATGATTTTACTGAATTTCATAAGATCAGGGAATACTCCCTGATCTATACATGAATTAAAAATATCAGCTAGGTAAGGGGCTATAGAATGTATAATATTATTTATGACTTTGACAGATATACCCCATAAATCAGATGCATTTTTCATTTTTAATGAATGGAAAACTTTAATTATTTTAAAAGAACTAACGTGCTTGAAATTAAATAATAAACCACACGGAGGTACATATTTTTGTAACAGAGCTGTAGCAGTATCAGACGATGAGTCCAAGTTGGAAGTAGTTTCTAATGGTATATTCATAAAAAAATTATCGAAAATATCTGCGACTTCATGTTTCGATTTTACGAGATTATTATTGATTTTAAGAACCATGCTATTTTCACGAGGCTTACACTTGCCACTTTCGCGCTTAATGATATCCCAAGTGGTCTTTATTTTATTACTAGATTTTTTAATTTTATCCCTAATAAAATTGGACTTTGCAGTATTACATATGCTTTTAAACAATTTGGAATATTTTCTAACATAGTTAATAAACTCAGGATCCTGGTTATATTCTTTGATTCTATAAAGCTCATACAGCCTTGTTCTACTCTTATATATACCACTTGTCGCCCAGTCACAGAACTGCAACTTCTGTGTACATTTAATGGTTTTCATTCTGAACGTATTTTGAAATTCATTATTTATTAAATTAAAAAGATTATTGTACAAAATATCCGGATCATCATGCGTCCAAGGCATTAAAGGAAGTTTATCGCTAATGTTATTTTTAAAATTATTAACGCGCTCATTTGTTATAGGTCTACACTTTATTATGTTCGGCTCAGTACTGACATTAAAACTATATGTTGTCTTTAAACCGAGATGATCGGAAGTAATATCACTAAAGACTGACCCTTCAATTGCATCCAATTCAGAAAAAAAGTTGTCTAAACAAGTGGCTGAGTGAGATGTTACTCTGGTTGGTTCAGTAAACTGGAAATTTAAATTAAAACATTTAAACAAAGTAATTAACCGAAGACTCAAAGAGCTATTTTCAAGTAGATTGACATTAAAATCACCACATACTATTACAGATTTATTTTTTAATTTATTGAGAGAGTCCTCCATGACTGATTCAAATGTATCAAAGTTTCCTGAGGGGGGCCGGTATACACATACTATATAAAAATTTACTAACTCTACACACGACAGCTCAACATGGCGTTCCACTGAAAGGCTTACAATGTCCTTTCTTTCCTTACATTTTACATGATGTTTTACAAAAATTAAAGACCCTCCATGAATAGCTGTCCTGCGTACAAATGCACTGGAGAGTTGAAAATTGTTTAAATAAAATGACATTTCATGTTGTTGCAGCCAGTGTTCAGTTATGCACATGATATGAGTTTCATGACTTTTAGCTAATAATTCTAACTCTAAGTCTTTGCCGGCCAAGCCCTGGATATTTTGGTGAATAATATTGACATAATGGGGCTTAGCTTTTGTCATACGCTTCAGTTTAAATCTAAAGAGTTTATTGTAGAACTACAATTTATCAAAAGATTTGAATTAGTACAAGTACTAATGTCAGTTTTAAAAGAAGTAATTACAATTTGTAAATTAAAAGCTAACAAATTAGCTAATTGTGTCCGAGATTTCTTTGAAAGATACATAGTATCTGAAGTCAGTTTAAAATTACTAATAAATTTATTAATGTCAAAAAACAAAATGACGTCACTATGACGATTAATCAAATTATACAAGTATGTATTTAAATCAAAGATGCGCTTATTTTCATCCCACGTCAAATTTTTAGCATAAGGGAAAGCGCTGATTATTAATTTGCAGTTAGTTTCTCCTTGTAACTTTAATAATACATTAAAACTATTCATTATGTCCCTTTTTCTAATGTCAGAGCTGTCACCACATAAAATGATTAAATTGGTAAAACTATCTACTTTATGCATTGTAACATTATTTACAATTTCTTTAAATGATTGCCCAGGAAAGCATAAATTGTAAAATTTATTATTATATTTATTACTCATAATAGATGAAAGTCCCTGACCTAATTTGTCAGAAAGCATGACAGTCTTTGGTGAATTAAGGTTCTGTGAAAGCGCTGGTTCAAACAATTTTTCACTATAAGTGGTTTGTATTTTTTCTGTATGGGCTGATGAATGACAGGAATTCTGTGTGATTACAATTTCTTTGTCTTTTCTAAGGTCTTCATTTGAGATGTCCACTGGGCAATTAACTATATTTAACATTTGGTTATTTATTAATGAGTCATAGCGCTCAGCATTA